TTTTATCAGCTGTCTTTGTATGTAATTTAGAGCTAGTTCCATGTGAAGTTGTTTTCTCATGACCTCAATTCTGATTTGATCTCTTCTGGTCACTCCTGCAGCCTTTCTCAAACTTTTCACTTCCATGGTTTTCTTGTTTGGTTTGTTGAGAGTGACCACGTCTGGCACTGGTAGCACAGAGTGGACAAGAATATGTTTTGTATGAGATGTTTCTCTGTGCTGATCAGGACTGTCTTATGCTGTAAGAGGAGGGGGGCTAGCTGTCCCAATATTTGGTTTGTTTCGCTGCACCTGATGCTAATTTCTTCATCAAATTTCCCATCTTTATTCAATGATGTTCCTAGATATTCAAACTTAAAACTTCTTTCTTCCTAATGACGTTTCTTGTCTTTTCAGTGTTGATAATCATATTATTTGTTTCACATTGTTCAATCATAGATATTAGATGCTGTTACAATTTCATGGCTGAATTTGCTATCACGGGTTGTGTGACCTAGCCTCTAAAAAAAACAAAAACAAAACTGTATTACTCACAATGACTGTCGAGAAACTGCAAGTAATCTTCCAAAGAGGCACATCCCTGCAGCTGACATTAACCCCTTTCTTTTGGCTTGGGGATTAGTGAAACAGTTTAACAATTTCATGATTCTCAAGTACTGGGGTTTGATTTTTTAGTGAATGGATTGCTTAAATTTAAAAAAAAATAATAAAAAATAAAAGCCACTCTCATGAGTTTATGATCTGTGCAAAAGTCACATTTTTAAGTGAATGAATCAATAAAAAAATGAATCAAGAACTGACATAACTGCACCTGTGACATTACCACATGTGTGCTGTCCCCTTCTTCAGTAGCCAACAGTCCACATGCTAACAGTACTACTATAAACCTGATTAAAAGTCCGCTTCTGTTTCCTTTTGAAAAATATAGGTCTAGCCCTGTATTCCCAATACGCCTGAAGGTGTGGGAAAAAAAGACCCAGTCGCCTGGCCAGCATGTGGTACATATAACCCATTCACATGCGATATCTGGTAATCCTAGTTTCAGCTTCATAGCAAAAGGGTCACCCCATAGTTGCTCCGCTCCTGTGCCAATGAAAAACACATATAGCTCACAGTGTCACACCATGCACTCAACTCAGAAGCTGGGCGACAAAACTATATTCTTTCAGTCTACAAATGGAGCAAAAATGCAACGGTCACGGTCTGGCAAAAAAAACAAACACATTTGACACGGCCACACACAAAAAATGTGGTCGTGCCTAGCGTCCATTTTGACCTGAAGCATTATATGAGGGTTAATAAACGGTCAACCCAGCAGTACCCTCACTATTAGCTGGGGCAGGGACTTAGGACATTACATCCACCAGCAGGCGTCTGACTATCGCATGCGATAGTCCTGCTGTGCTGATCTCAAGCCATCAGAAAGCTGTTGTTACTGCCTCCACCTCCATTCTCATACTGGTTGTAGTGACACTGTATGAGAGGCTCTGTTTTCAAACAGTGTCCATATTCACCATTGCAATAAAACCCAACCCATTCTTCTTACCTCTCACTACAGACCCATCTGTATATATTATGTCACCTTGGCATACATTTTCATTGTGGAAAAACATTGGGCCTCACAAGGTAATATTCCAAAGAGATCATTAGAAACACATTAGCCAAACTTTATTGTGGAGACCGCATACACATGTTTATTTTATTAATTGTTTTCACTATTTTCCACGACTCTGTTACTGTTTTTTTTTTAACCACTTCCCATGATCCTGTCACTGCACACGATGTATTTATTTAGTACAACATCTCAATCTTTTTTTTAAGGAAACTGATATGGGCTGATTAGGCAGGCACTGATTTGTAATTAAATCCACTGAAAGAGATCAGATTATGTATCATAATTAATTAACATGAACGAAAGTACACTCACAGTTGAGCATCAAAAATGGTGTATAAAGGAGATTAAGTATGAATTCTCACTAAGTACTTAGGAGATTAAGTATGAATTCTTACTAAGTACTAAGGTGATTAAGTATGAATTCTTACTAAGTACTAAGGTGATTAAGTATGAATTCTTACTAAGTACTAAGGTGATTAAGTATGAATTCTTACTAAGTACTAAGGTGATTAAGTATGAATTCTTACTAAGTACTAAGGTGATTAAGTATGAATTCTTACTAAGTACTAAGGTGATTAAGTATGAATTCTAAGTACTAAGGTGATTAAGTATGAATTCTTACTAAGTACTAAGGTGATTAAGTATGAATTCTTACTAAGTACTAAGGGGATTAAGTATGAATTTTCACTAAGTACTAAGGGGATTAAGTATGAATTCTCACTAAGTACTAAGGGGATTAAGTATGAATTCTCAATAAGTACTAAGGTGATTAAGTATGAATTCTTACTAAGTACTAAGGTGATTAAGTATGAATTCTTACTAAGTACTAAGGGGATTAAGTATGAATTCTCACTAAGTACTAAGGGGATTAAGTATGAATTCTCACTAAGTACTAAGGGGATTAAGTATGAATTCTCACTAAGTACTAAGGGGATTAAGTATGAATTCTTACTAAGTACTAAGGTGATTAAGTATGAATTCTCACTAAGTACTAAGGGGATTAAGTATGAATTCTCACTAAGTACTAAGGGGATTAAGTATGAATTCTCACTAAGTACTAAGGGGATTAAGTATGAATTCTCACTAAGTACTTAGGAGATTAAGTATGAATTCTTACTAAGTACTAAGGGGATTAAGTATGAATTCTCACTAAGTACTAAGGGGATTAAGTATGAATTCTTACTAAGTACTAAGGTGATTAAGTATGAATTCTTACTAAGTACTAAGGTGATTAAGTATGAATTCTTACTAAGTACTAAGGTGATTAAGTATGAATTCTCACTAAGTACTAAGGTGATTAAGTATGAATTCTTACTAAGTACTAAGGTGATTAAGTATGAATTCTTACTAAGTACTAAGGGGATTAAGTATGAATTTTCACTAAGTACTAAGGGGATTAAGTATGAATTCTCACTAAGTACTAAGGGGATTAAGTATGAATTCTCACTAAGTACTAAGGTGATTAAGTATGAATTCTTACTAAGTACTAAGGTGATTAAGTATGAATTCTTACTAAGTACTAAGGGGATTAAGTATGAATTCTCACTAAGTACTAAGGGGATTAAGTATGAATTCTCACTAAGTACTAAGGGGATTAAGTATGAATTCTCACTAAGTACTAAGGGGATTAAGTATGAATTCTTACTAAGTACTAAGGTGATTAAGTATGAATTCTCACTAAGTACTAAGGGGATTAAGTATGAATTCTCACTAAGTACTAAGGGGATTAAGTATGAATTCTCACTAAGTACTAAGGGGATTAAGTATGAATTCTCACTAAGTACTTAGGAGATTAAGTATGAATTCTTACTAAGTACTAAGGGGATTAAGTATGAATTCTCACTAAGTACTAAGGGGATTAAGTATGAATTCTTACTAAGTACTTAGGAGATTAAGAATGAATTCTTACTAAGTACTTAAACATGGTTTTGCAATATCCATGGTACCGAGCCAAAAGGTTAACAATTCATGGTTTCTGGATATTTAAAAAAAAAAAAAAATTAAAAAATAACGGTTTAGGAACATAAGGGAACAAATAAATACTTATACCTATGAACATAAATATTTCCAAGAAATACTTTAATTATACAAATGAAAGAATTAAAAACATTCTTGTAAGAAAATAAAAATAGTATGAACCTCGTATATACATCTAGAAATATCGAAATACATGTACAACATATTGTAATGATATTGCAAAATCCTGGGTCATTGTTTACTTCTGCAAATTTATAGTCACATTCTAAATGCATTCTTCTACTTCTTTTAGACACAAGTCACTAATGAAGAACTAAGAACAACAGCAGGCACAGTACGGCAGAAAGATTTCAAAGAACAGCAAAGAATCAAATGGTTTGGTAATCTGGTCAGACTGGAACAAAACCAGCCAGCAGCAAGAGAGTACTACATGAAAACAGCAGCTTACAAGCAAGAGGCTGACCAAAAAAGAGATGGATGGAGAAAGTAAAACAGGCACTGGTTAGGTTAGTTTTGTATCCTTTACAGGACGTTACAGAACCAACCCAACAGTTTTTCTAGGCAAACTTATGTCCAGTAGTTTAAAGAGGCACTACAGAAACACAATATGACATTAACACAAGCAAGGCCAGTAGCAAAAGACAGGCAACTACAAATAACTCTGTGATGCTTTGAGACATAAGCAGTGGGTCAAAAGAAAGAAAGACTATTTGTTCTTACTGCCCCTTTTTTTTTGGTGGTAAGAAGGTCACAGTCTCTATGAAGGCTGTGGTGTGATGTCTGTCTTCTAATGATCCATACAGCTTGGTTTCCTCTGGACTGCTACCTGGTCAGACCTGGGATCTCTTACTGCATGTAGAGCATATGTCCGCAACGTATGAGCATATGTCTGCAGCATATGAGCATATGTCTGCAACATATGAGAATATGTCTGCAACGTATGAGCATATGTCTGCAACATATGAGAATATGTCTGCAACGTATGAGCATATGTCTGCAACATATGAGAATATGTCTGCAACGTATGAGCATATGTCTGCAACGTTGCAGTACTAACTCTTTCGGCACCAGCAGATTTGGAAGTAAATATACCAGTGAAACAGAAAGAGAAAAAAACCTGACTGACCCACAGTCCCTAACAATTATGGTGTAAGAGGCAACACATTGAAATCAGAACTATTGGGCCAAAAAGCAAATATCACAGCCTAGCTGTTAACCATAACACAACATGTTAACCATAACACAACATGCCAACCACCCTTTTAAGGCTGAACACACAGATATCATGAAGTCTTATCACGGCTACAAATTGTGTTTTCAAAATGAGGAGTTCCCAACAAAGGGACATGACTCTGAAAACACTTGACGTTAACCATGCAAGCACACTTGGATAGCAACACAATTCTAATCATTGCAACATTTCACTATCAATATTCTCGTTTTTATATTTCTCCCGAACTTCCAACAGATGTTGGTCATGCTCCTTGGCTTTCGTATAAAGCAGTACTCCAATTGTAACAAATACGGTCCCAAGGCCACTTAACAATGTCACTGGATTGCCAAACAGGAAGACGGAAAGCCAGATAAGAAAGGCACGCTTGACTGTGTTGGCCACACTGTGTGTAAATACAAGAGAAAAGAAGAATTAAATTATCATTCAAGCAAAAATGTAACAGATCGATTATACCAAGTTCCCCTGACAATAATATCTAACCTGAAAAAAAAAAGCTCCTGAGTGAGAAACTGAATGTTCCGACCAGGCTTCATCTTCAACTCTCTTTTTTTACATCAATTCTGCATTGTCAATATCACCTGAATAAATATGCACAACATAAACATTAATTCCTATAAATGTGCCTCATCAATTCAGCTGTCTCAGGAGGATGTATCGTGTTTAAAACATCATTGTAAGCCACCAGCTACCCACCTGTAAGCCACCAACTATCCACCTGTATGCCACCAATTACCTACCTGTAAGCCACCAACTATCCACCTGTATGCCACCAATTACCCACCTGTAAGCCACCATTACCCACCTGTAAGCCACCAACTACCCACCTGTAAGCCACCAATTACCCACTTGTAAGCCACCAACTATCCACCTGTAAGCCACCAATTACCCACCAACTACCCACCTGTGAGCCACCAACTACCCACCTGTAAGCCACGAACTATCCACCTGTAAGCCATCAACTATCCACCTGTAAGCCACCAACTACCCACCTGTAAGCCACCAACTATCCACCTGGAATCCACCAACTATCCACCTGTAAGCCACCAACTACCCACCTGTAAGCTATCAACTATCCACTGTAAGCCACCAACTATCCACCTGTAAGCCATCAACTATCCACCTGTAAGCTACCAACTACCCACCTGTAAGCCACCAACTACCCACATGTAAGCCACCAACTATCCACATGTAAGCCACCAACTACCCACCTGTAAGCTATCAACTATCCATCTGTAAGCCACCAACTATCCACATGTAAGCCACCAACTATCCACATGTAAGCCACCAACTATCCACATGTAAGCCACCAACTATCCACATGTAAGCCACCAACTACCCACCTGTAAGCTATCAACTATCCATCTGTAAACCACCAACTATCCACCTGTAAGCCACCAACTATCCACATGTAAGCCACCAACTATCCACATGTAAGCCACCAATTACTCACCTGTAAGTCACCCACTACCTACCGATAAGTCACCCCCTATCCACCTGTAAGTCATCAACCTGTTAAGTCTTTAACTACTCACCTGTGAGTCACTGGTGAAATGTAATCCATGAGAACATATGCTGTGATTGACTGGAAGTGGAAAAAAACTCCATTGAGCAGCAAAGAAAACAGGAGAGTGATGTCCAGGTTCCGGTGGACTTTGTCCAGGTCCATCATGAAGTAACAGGCAGGGATCTGAACAACGATGCTGGCAATACTGGTGTAGAACTGCAGCTCTGCTGGACTGGGAGAGTTAAAACACCACATCAGTGTCTCGGGCAAACACAGAGAAATGCTAAATATAAATCTGTTAAACACTTTAAAAACACAAGCTACGCATCTTGCGAAAGACAGAAAACCACATGAAACTCCTCTGTGTGACGCTTTAGGGCATAAGTAGTCAGACAAACGAAGAAGGAAGAAAGGAAACATTTTAAAACTGGCTGCAAGCAAAATATATATATGTGTGTGTGTGTGTGTGTAGTAGTTGGTGTTATGTGTGTGTGTATATACCCTATTCCCTGTATGAGTTTCAGAGCCTCACAGAAGAATAGACTCAATGGCTCCCTAACAAGCAAACATTGTAAATGCCGACTAATTATGAATGTCCTTTGAAGTTGGAGTGTATCTTCCTGAGAGGAGTGGAGCCAACAGAATCCATACAAATAAGCAATAAAAACAGATGTGGATGCAAAACTCAAATTATGGAACAAGTCTAGATTCCAGAAGTAGATGAACAACTAGAACTTTCCACCAGAGTTTACAGACGGTAAGCTTAGAGAATGAGAGTATTCATCTTAACATAAGGGCCAACTTTTACTAGGCACACTCCCCAGGTGGCAGACAGTGGCATGGCCTTTAGATTTAGAGGATAGCTGTGAATATTTTGACTAAGTGGTCGTGGAACAACACAGGTGGTAGTCACCAGAATGAAGCAAGTTAGCCGGTGGGACAGCTAGCTCTAAAAAATACCTCAAAACCCCGTAACATGGCCACTGACAGGTGAGAGGCACGCGTACATAGCCTTCCGCCTCTGCTGCCTCTCAAGGAAAGTCTATTTAGACAAAGGCTATAACCACACCCAAACCAATGGAAGTCAAGGGGAAATGACCACTGTATTTGTCCCTTGAAAATCTAACTGACAAATTTTGGTCATGGTTGTCACACATGAACTGATACAAGCTAAAAAAAGATTACAAATTGTGGACAGACATGATCGCCCACACCAGTCAGCAAGGCACTTGATGATAATGATGCTATATTTCTAAGTGTGACCAGATCAGGTGAATGAGATCAAAGGATTGAAGATTCTGATCTAAAGTACTCAACACACCTATGGTTTAGATCTTCAGACATGGAATGTTGTACAAAACCAGGAAGTTACGTCTTTCTTGCCCAAATCTATTAAAACGGTACGGATCATATCTTAGTTAACATAAAATTCATCTGCCATCATTTCACTTAGACAGTGACCTTTATGTACACACTCTCTGATTTTGGCAATAAGTACACTCACAGAATACGTTGAGAAAGGTGGAGACAGGCATGCTCTGTGCAGAGTGGCAAACATGGCTTCTGAGGTCACGAGTAGTTAGCATCCTTTAGATACTTTCTCCAGGGAATGCTGGTGTTTTGGGAAATGAGTAGCCGGACAGATTGGCCAGTTCTGTACAACTTGGGAGCCAGTGAACAGTGCGGAGGCCCAAACAGATCATTACGGTCTGAGAAGAATGGCGCTGCGGGGTGTTACCAGGGGATCTGGCCGATGCTTGACACTCAAGGAAAAAGTAAGATGGGTGTACAATCAGACAGTTACTGGTACTTTCGGAAGTGGAACTTTTCACTAGCTGCTGAAGATGGGGACAGAGCACTTATGGGAGTGTCCTGAGTGGTATGATGTCGATTCTGAATTCAACATTCAACAATGAGTACATCATTAAAAAGAAAATTTTGATGCCTCAGGCTAGCTTCATCTTCAACTGTTTCCATATCAGTTTTGAAACAAATATGCTTTATGCTGATTAGCGTCGCAGGTTAACAGATGCTCTGTATTCAACCCAGGGCACGCTTGGTTGTCTGGTAGACTGTAGAGTCTCGAGGTATCAGTAACTCCTTCAATCCATCTTCTTCTTGATCGTCTGCTACATCTTGATGTTTCTACTTCTATACTGTATGGTATCAATAGATTCACCCCTATTTAATGGCCCAATCACGTTTCAGTCTTTGTTTTCCAATGAATACAGTGTGAGGTGTTGTTTCAATAGTTCTTTTAATGTCTTCATGAATACCACCAAATATCTGTGCAAGAGATAAATACTGATCCCCCAAAATTTGTATTCTCAATTCAATTATTTCAATGGCACTTTTCCGAGCTTAAAACAAAATTTAATTTTTGTTATTTGGTATATGCTACATGAGTAACACCACACCTCTCACCAGCTAAAATACAGAATGGCAGATTGCTTGTTGTCTGCTGGCTAGATGGTGTTGTGATTTTTCTAGGTAGGTAGTTGTACCCCACCATGACATCACACAAGCAATAAACACCTGATGACACAAAGTGCCACCATGCGGATGAGGATCACCCGTAGAGAGGTTCCAAAAACTCCTTTCAGCCGTGAGGCCATATTTATGCCCTGACTATATTCAGGGCCCCCGGCGAAAGCCAGGGTGGGGTTTCAAAAAAACAAAAAATGTTATCCCACATGGGGACAACAATGAAAAAAACAATCTAAATCTTTGATGAATGGTGCCTGTTTGATATCAAATGTTGCTTCATAGATAGAATTTTATCTTAGGCATAACAAAATCACCATGTTAATTGTCAGACATGTGAATCTTTACAAAATGTAAGAACTGCACTGTTATCTACTCACGTGTATCTATACTTTTCTCCGCTGATCAAGTGTTTGGAGTATACATTTTGCGTACTGAGGATGTAAAACACATGGCAAGTTAATCAATATCATTATTTTCCTTCATTTCTATTTTGTTGAGGTAAATAATAAGATCCATACATGGTATGCCAGGAATATGGCTTGATGGGCATAATGTTAACTACCTGCAATACGATATAGTTTTGATCACTGAAAGTGAAGCACAACTACAAGAAATGAAGGGCATAATTGTAACAAAAAGTCAAAACAAGGGTCTCAGTTTGAACAGCAGAAAAACAGAAGTAATGGTTATTATTAAGAAAACTGATCCTACAAAATGCAGCATTAAAGTTAATGGGACAATTCTCTAGCAAGTTGATATGTTTAAGTACTTGGGTACTATGATAACATCAGAGGGAAAAAGTATTAAAGAAGTCAAATGTAAAATAGCTGAAGCAAGGGCAGTATTTTGCAGAACCTAAAGAAAATTATATGCAATCGTACCTTGTCAATTATGTGAGAAAAGGAATTAACAAATGCTATATAAATACTATCCTAATATATAAAAGTAAATCAAGGACAGTTAAAAAATTATATGGAAGCTGTGGAGATGTGGTTTATTAAATGAATGATGTAAAAAGTTGACTAATTAGGGACATTTCCTTCAAAGTCGGAGTGCATCTGAAACAAGGAACCAATTGTCAGCATTATAAATAAGCAAGATCTGTAAAATGGATGTGCACGCAAAACTCAAGTTTTGTAAAAAATAAAAATAAAAAGTTCAGAAGAAATTTTACATACTCTCTTAATCAGAGACTGTCAGATGTTGACTCTAAGCAGACCCTGGGTCATCCTGGAGGTCTGGTTCCCTGGTTCTTGGCTTCTCGCGCTTGCCATGGTGGCCAGATTTCTCCCATTCTGCATTTATGTCAAACCATCCTAACTTTTTCACTTCACCGGCTGTAAACTCCAGTGGAAAGTTCTGGTTGTTTGTCCACAAGTGGACTTTACTCTGGTTCCAGAACCTGAGTGTTGTGTGCACATCCATTTTATAGATGTGACTTATTTGTATGCAGACTGTTGGTTACTTGCCTCTCAGGCATATGTGCGGTCCAACTTCGAAGGAGGCCTACAGTTTGTTAACTCTAACGACATACTTGCTGGGGAGGCAGTGGTTCTATTCTTGTTTTCCCCTCAATGGGACTGGGAAGTGAGCATACTTTGGATCTTTTCTTTAGGCAATGCCGGCATAGTGGGTAATGAACAGGCAGACAGATTGGCTGGATCTGCACCACTGGGATGTGAATTGTTATATGACAATACAGATGGGAACAAGCAACAGAATCAGTAGAGAAACAAGATTATTATGGCCTGGAGAGAATGAGGCACCTGGGTGTAACCAGACGGTCTGGCCGGCTCCCTAAACTCAGAGGAAAGGCAAGATAGATTATAACCAGATTGTGACCGGTACCATTTAGTATTGGAACTTTGCACTGGCTGCTGAAGATGAGGAGGGAGCACACGTGGGAATACCCCAGAGTGCTGTGATGTCAATTCTTGACTCAGCTCAACTCAAAGGGGCCCCGGAACCCACACCTAACCGTAACTGATCCCAGTCAAGTTTTTAAGGCCTGTGTTTCAAGATCATGACGTACTGTCTGCTTGCAAACTTTGTCACTTCCACTTTATTGTAAAGTAGCAGAAAATATGAATAACTAAACCTCACCATTCTATCAAGTTGGTGGCCATGGCAGCCATAAATCCTTGAATATTGAAGCTTAGGTCGTAGAGGGAACACAGCGCCAGTCCCAGGACGACGGGGATCAGAGAGAGAAACGTGAACATGCCTGTCAGCTCGCCTATAAATATCCTGGAAATGAAGACGGTGAACAATGGAGCCGAACTTTTGATTGTCTCGGTGAATGACACGCTGACGAACTTAAGTGCAACCAGGCCTAGCACTACAGTGGAAAACCTGGCGATTACAGAAAGTTATAAATGCTGATTTAGTAAAATCTTAAATACGCAAGGTTAATCATTTACAATATGAAATTATTAGCACTGATAACTGCCACAGAGTGGGTCAAATAATAAAGCAAAAGAAATATCCTACAAAAACACTAAATTACAGAAAACGTAGAAAGCAGTGGATGTCTGAGAACTAGACAAAGAGAGAAGTGGATGTCAGAACTAGACAAAGACAGAAGTGGATGTCTGAGAACTAGACAAAGAGAGAAGTGGATGTCTTAGAACTAGACAAAGAGAGAAGTGGATGTCTTAGAACTAGACAAAGAGAGAAGTGGATGTCAGAACTAGACAAAGAGAGAAGTGGATGTCTTAGAACTAGACAAAGAGAGAAGTGGATGTCAGAACTAGACAAAGAGAGAAGTGATGGTAGAACTAGACAAAGAGAGAAGTGGATGTCAGAACTAGACAAAGAGAGAAGTGGATGTCAGAACTAGACAAAGAGAGAAGTGATGAATAGAACTAGACAAGAGAAAGAAGTAGTCAGTTAAACTAGACAAAATAGAGAAGTGGATAAACAAGTAGATAAAGAGAGAATGGATGTCTTAGACACTAGAAAAGAGAGAAGTGATGTCTTTCGCTGCTAAAGACGAGAAGTGGATGTCTTCCTGTATGCAAAGCTAGAGAAGTGGATGTCAGAACTAGACAAAGAGAGAAGTGGAGTGTCTATAGAACTAGACAAAAGAGAAGTGGATGTCACCCATTTAGATAAATTAAAAGCACTGGCATGTGCTTAGGGTGTAGACAAAGAGAGTGTTTACTGATGTCAGTTATAGACAAAGAGAGAAGTCGGTGATGTCAGTATTTTAGTGCAAAGATAGATATTGGTGGTTTGGGAACTATTCAAAGAGACTTCGTTAGTACTAGACAAGAGAGAAAATTTGTGTCAAAGTAGACAAAGAGATTGATGGATTTCTGTCTAGAAAGAGAGAGAAGAAGATGAATTAGAAATAGACAAAGAGAGAAGTGGATGTCTTAGAACTAGGCCAAAGAATATCGTGGATGTCGTAGAAATATGACAAAGAGAGAAGTGGATTTCAGAACTACAAATTGAGAAGTGGATGTGTTAGAATTTAGACAACAGTGAGAAGTGCAGGTCAGATAGACAAAGAGAGAATTGGATGTCTTAGAACATCAGACAAAGAGAGAAGTGGATGTCAAGCGATAATCTAGACAAAGAGAGTAGTGGACGTCCAGAACTAGACAAAGAGAGAAGTGATGGTAGTAGACAAAGAGAGAAGTGGATGTCCGAACTAGACAAAGAGAGAAGTGGATGTCAGAACTAGACAAAGAGAGAAGCTACTTGTCAGAAACTCAAGTATTATATTATTATTACAGAAGTGGACTGTCAAAGAACTATGACAAAAGTGGAAGCCGATGGTAGGTTCGTAATCAAATTTGAGAAGTGGATGGGTCAGAACTAGACAAAAGAGAGAACTGGATGTCACCACCCCCTAGGGGGCAAAGAGAGAAGTGGTTGTCAGTTTGTAGATACCATCGTGGGAAGTCGATCACCACTAGACAAAGACACAGAAGTGTGAAAGATTTTTTAGTGTACAAAATATAGGCAACATCATCGCTGCAGCATCTTTTGCGTTCTAGACAAGAGAAAAAAGTAGATGCGCACAGAAGAGACTATGCAACATAAACAAGCTTAGCACAGGGGCTAAGAATAAACTAGACAAGAGAAAAAAGTAGATGTTAAAGAACAAACTAGGCAACATAAACAAGTAGATATATGATATCTAAAAAAAACTAACAAGAGAAAGAAGTAAGTTAAAGAACAAAATAGGAAACATAAACAAGTAGATATTTAAGAATAAACTAGACAAGAGAAAGAAGTAGATGTTAAAGAACAAACTAGGCAACATTAACAAGTAGACATCTAAAAAAAAACTAGACAAGAGAAAGAAGTAGATGTTTAAAGAACAAACTGACACTAATCAGGCCAACACTAAACAGTTTGTTCTATACATTTCCTGAAATGGTACCCACCTCATGGCTCCAACAAGAATCATATTGCGCCAGAAGTGTGGAGGTTTGCCCTCTCTGCTGACCGGGGTATACATGCCCATTGGCAGGTACATCTGGACAAAACCCAGAAATGTGGTCATCACCATCTGCATGGCACCTGAAGGGGCAAGCATTTTCAAGAATTCTTAGTTTAGTTTTCTACACAATGATCTATAATAGTTTCCCAGTCTTTCCCTGTCTATGCCAGTCTTTCCCAGTCTATACCAGACTTTCCCTGTCTATACCAGACTTTCCCTGTCTATACCAGTCTTTTCCTGTCCATACCAGACTTTCCCTGTCTATACCAGACTTTCCCTGTCTATACCAGACTTTCCCTGTCTATACCAGACTTTCCCAGTCTATGCCAGTCTTGTTCAGCCTGTACCAGTATTTTCCAGTCTATACCAGTCGTTTTCAGTCTATACCAGTCTTTCCCACTCTATGCCAGTCTTTCCCAGTATTTCCCACTGTATACCAGTCTTTCCCACTGTATACCAGTCTTTCCCAGTCTACACCAGTATTTCCCACTGTATACCAGTCTTTCCCAGTCTATACCAGTATTTCCCAGCCTATACCAGTCTTTTTCAGTCTATACCAGTCTTTCCCACTGTATACCAGTCTTTCCCACTGTATACCTAGTCTATACCAGTATTTCCCAGCCTATACCAGTCTTTTTCAGTCTATACCAGTCTTTCCCACTGTATACCAGTCTTTCCCACTGTATACCAGTATTTCCCAGTCTATCCCAGTATTTCCCACTGTATACCAGTCTTTCCCACTGTATACCAGTCTTTCCCAGTCTATACCAGTATTTCCCAGCCTATACCAGTCTTTCCCACTGTATACCAGTCTTTCCCACTGTATACCAGTATTTTCCAGCCTATACCAGTCTTTCCCACTGTATACCAGTCTTTCCAGTATTTCCCAGCCTATACCAGTCTATACCAGTCTTTCCCACTGTATACCAGTCTTTCTTCCTAGTCTATACCAGTCTTTCCCACTGTATACCAGTCTTTCCCACTGTATACCAGTATTTCCCAGTGTATACCAGTCTTTCCCAGTCTATACCAGTCTTCCCACTGTATACCAGTCTTTCCCACTGTATACCAGTCTTTCCCAGTCTATACCAGTATTTCCCAGCCTATACCAGTCTTTTTCAGTCTATACCAGTCTTTCCCAGTATTTTCGAGTATATCCCAGTATTTTCCAGTATTTTTCAGTCTCTCCCAGTCCTTGCCATTTGCTGGTAGTGTCTAGTTGGCCAAGATAAAGCAGTGGTCTTCAAATTTGATTTTCTACTCAAAGATCAAAGCATTCAACTAATGTATTTTTTTCAAAAACTAATCAAGACTTAAAATGTGTTGCTTCTTCTTCTCGTTCACTTAATTTCTTATGGTAGAGATTCAGGGAATTAAAAGGATGCATTAGAAAAAAATTAAATTTGGAAAAAAGCCATTACAAAAAAAAAAAAAAATCTCACAGGGTAAAAGGGTTTAAAAGCCTGACCTATTTAAGTTTGGGCCTCGTAGCAGATCAGGTCAGACTGAGTGTGCAAGTTGACATGTATGTGTAGACCTGGTTGCAACTGACTTGTCAAAGTGCAATAGTTTTTGTGTAGTTGCTTTGCTTTCTATTTACATTTTCGAAATAGGCTGTTCTGAACTGTGCCTGCAAAGTTTTCTGTACTTGGGTGTAGGTGGAGTTATGATACTACCAGTGGATATGTCAGTGTGCTTCAATTCCTTCAGATGCTGAGTTAAAAGAAAGATTGTTGAAATTATTTCCACGGAAAGATTTGACACCTGGAAAAACTAGTGTAGTATGTGTGAACATTTCCTTTTGTCTGATAATACTGTATCTAATAAATACACTGACAAATCTATAGTTAAGCTTGTACTTCCAAGAAAAAATACTTCTTTAGGAAGAGATGCTTATATTTTTACAATCTTCAATCCTTTTTATCTGTAAGAGTATCAGCCTTTCACAAAACTCCAGAGTAAAGTGTATGATATTAAGTTAAGTTAGTTGCGTAACCTTTACAGGACGTTGCAGAACCAACCCCAACAGCCCCTTGCTAGGCAAATTTACGTCCAGTAGTGTGCCATTGCTTCCTGGATGGTCGGCTTTCTTGATACCACTATCAAAACCAACGCAAGGCGCATTGCCCGCAGCTGGGATCGAACTCGACATCCCGGCATTACAAAGTGTATGATATATAAATAGTATTTATGATCAAAAAGAAAATGATAGGCTGTTCTCAGATTTTCAAGATTTTATGAACAGTTTTTATACAACCCGTTAGAAATAGTGCCAAAGAATATAAATTCAACTTATGACCAGTTTGACTTATACGGTCGGAGCAGAACTCAGCAGTAAATCGAACAGACCCTGTAAATGAAAAGAAGAAATTAAAATAATAACATACTGACTACTTACCAAGTAATGTTGGATCACCGCGTAAATTAGCAAGTATGTATTTATTCAGGAACAATGTACAGCCACCGAAGAAATACCACATAATGAGGAATGAGAAGGCACGAACGTTGAACAATCCCAACTTTTCCCTGTCCACATGATGTTGTCTCAGAGATCGGTCTGCAGCACTGTCACTGAGTGAAGTCAGCAGCTGTTGTACGTCTGGTGGCTTTTCTGCGACCATGATACTGCAGCTTCAGAGTCCACTTGCCACCAGGCTCATTCTACAACCAGCAACAGAAACTTTTAGAGAATGATCATGTCTGCTGTAAATTAAAATGGAAAAAATGTTAAAGAACTTGTTTTATTTACAAAGTTGTGGGTTTAGTTTCTGACACAACCAGACTTTTACAACAATGATCTTGGCTCTTAGGTCAATCCAGCCTTATATGGGTGCAAGGTAAAGCCCTGGAAAGTAGAGACAGCTGCCCTGCTGTTCACCATATTGCCTACCGAGTACTGATTGGTCTATAAAATATAGATTGTATGCCCAATAAGCCTACAGGTGTGCAAAAGGGGCCTTTACTTACTTTATTTACAAACAAAAATCTTCTTCTTTTTCTTCATCACAGTCATTGGTTATAAACTCCGGTGAAAAGTTCTGGTTGTTCATCCACTTCTGGACTTAGTCATTTTCCAGAACATGAGCTTGGCATGCACATCCAGTTCACAGATGTCTTTTTTGTAAACAGACTGTTGGTTCCTTGCTTCGCAGGCAGATACACTCCCACACTGAAGGAAACACCCCTAATCAGTCTACATTTTCAACATGCTTGTTAGGGGGAATGGGAGTCGCCGTGGCAGAGCGGCTAGACGCACGCCGCGGATCGGAAGGTCGTGGGTTCGCTCCCTGGCGGAGACGGACTTTTCTTCAAAAATGACCTTGGCTCCCAGGTCGACCCAGCCTTGAGTGGGTACCGGGTGCAGTCCCGGGAAGTAGAGGCAGCTGGCGTGATGCTGACCACATCACCCATCTTGTGCTGTTGGTCTATAAAAATATAGGTCTAGCCCTATACGCCTAAAGGCGTGGAAAGGGTCCTTTACTTTACTTTACTTTGTTAGGGGGAATGTATTATTTTTTCCCCCTCAATGAAGCTCTGAAATACACATGAGGGGGTTCACTGGTTAAGTGGTCTAGTCATTTGCCTCAAGCTCTGAAGATTGTGGGTTTGTTTCATGTGGCACTATTCAGTTCATGAGTGCAACTGTTTTGGAGATCCCTGGTAATCGTCGCCAGAGCTACAGAAATTGTGCTTTGTTGTGATGCTCTCGGCAGGCTGCCAGCCATTCTGTGGAGAGAGACTGAGCCTTTTGGGATAAACCCTGGTGCAAGGAAGTCAATCCCCTCGATTTTTTACATGTAACCTTTCAACAAACAGAAGGAAACACAAATGTAAGATATAAGCTGAAAACCAGTTTCTAATTTGAAGTTCTGGGGCTTATTCTGTGATAAAGACAAGCTAAAACATTCATTTAAATCTATATGCATTATACTATTCGGTGTGACCAACCTGGTCACAAAGAGTTTGTCACAGAAGTCACATTGTTTTGAAACTTCCTTTATTATTAACTACTATTCATATAAGTGCTTCTAAAAAATTGCTAGGTTTTTCAATGAATTCCAGAAACATTTGACTAAAAAGCTCAACAAAATGGGGAAGCAGTAAAACGTGAACAAAACAACACAGCGTACGTGTTGACAAGAAGACACTTAAACCAATCCTCCATTTTAATAGCTCTGACCACAGAGGTAAAGATGATATTTCTGTCACAGCATTAAAATCTTGCTCTGGCGATCATACTACGCGCCTCGCATTGGAAAGTCGCCTCATCCACAGCTTAGGCGTTCTTAGTCCAGGTGGTATTAATATCCAACATACCTTTATCTAAAAAGTTCTACTCTTATCATATTTTAAATGTTAATTATTTTCTTTTATTTCATATTATTACTTTATTAATTTCTGGCTGTTTGTCCACTTCTGGACTTGTCTTGTTCTAGAAGTTGAGTTATGCATTCCCATTATTTGACAGATCTGGCTTATTTGTGTGCAGACTGTTGGTTCCTTGCCTGTCAGGCAGATGCACTTAAACTTTAAAAAAAAACAAAAAAACACTTAATTAATTAGTTGCCTTTTATGCAGGGATGCAATTTAGAATTATGAGGCCCTAAGGTATACACAGCCCTGAGGTCCTTACTGTGTGTGTGTGTGTGTATACAAGTTACTTAAATGGGTTATCATCATTGCACTCAAGACATGTCCACAGGTGCTCAGATCCTCCCCTCAGTATCAAACCACCGTCCAGTGCTAATAGTACTAGTTCTGTGTTGATTAACAAGTCCTCTGATGAGCTGGTTTGCGTCTCGTTTTTTGCTATTCCCATCTCAACTCCCAAGTCTGCCATTCTGGCAAATGATGTTAATACACCAAAGTCATCCAATCTTCCCATTTCTCAGAGGCATTAAAAATGTCAGCATGATCCATAGGTTGACCATCGGTAGTGATAGCGGCTCCAGCCAACCTATCAGCTCTTGCATTTATACCAACGCCTGCTGTGAACGCCCATGGCATACAAAGGATCCGTCTGTGTAGATCAGTACATCTGCCTGATCTGAATTTTCACTGATTCTGCTCTCTGCATCGCCTGTTGAAGGTGGCAGTACAGGAAAATGTACAAATAAATGCATGAGGCATGGGTATCTCACTCTGCACCAGGGATGATGTCCGTTAGGCTGTATATTTGCATATATAAACATATATGTACACACCCATATATATATAGTTTATAGCATACACAGAAAATAAATAAAAGGCTGGTGCTAACAAACAACAAACTGAATATTTTATCACTTCAAATGTGCTACATGTACATGTTGGAAATTTTAAAAAAGCTTTAGATAATATACTTCAAATACTATTAATAACATTAGACACTCGGGTGGGGGGGGGGGGGGGGGGGGGGGGGAAACTATTTGGGGGAAGGTTTTTAGGCCCCTATTACAAGTTGAGGCCCCAAACTGCAGCTTATTTAGCACTTTAACACTGCTTTTATATGTTTGTTGAGGAGGGGGGCGGCTCTACCACCCCCCTCTCCACTTGATTCTCCCTCGCAGACACACAATGGGGCTTCAGTACCCAGGGGGGGGGGGGGTAATATAAGTATATATTATAATATATAAAACCCGGCCTTAGTTTCGAGGAACAGTGGAACACGGTCTGCCGAATGTGTTAATTAGTTAACTTAAATTTAATTATGACATTAAAATAAGGTCAATCGGAATGATACCAACACATTTGTTTTACAGTAGCTGTGTTACCTGTATGGGTCACACATCCCCAGTACAAGCGACAGAGAAGCACACATACAGCGGAGACGCCCAGTCATACACGTCTCCAAATTCCAAACTGGGCGGCCATTCAAAGGGACTGCATTCTGGAGAATGTCTGCCCTGGCAGGTGTGTAAGAAGTACAGGTGAGAGAAAAGTCAACACCACCCAGGGCTGTCGAAGTTGATACTTTCCGTATATTGTTAGTACTGTTGTTCATGATGCAGACCACTTGTCATCCAAGGTAATAATGATCAATGATTAAGATTTGCGAAGTTGGCTGATTAGTCTAATAGCCTGGAAAGTTCTTGAACAGTGCGGACAACAGGTGGAAGCAGTAAGTATGGGGTTAATGATACGGTTCCTTGTAGTCTGCCTCAGTTTTAACCTGTGCAACCTCCGCTACCTGGGAGGCTTATAAACTATTCCTGAGGTATGTACGCCATCCAGAACGGTCCTCTGCAACAGCCTCCTATGTTGCTGTGTTGATGCCAAAAGAATTGAACACGTCTTCATTTCTGCGAACACGTCTTCATTCCTGCGAACACGTCTTCATTTCTGCAAACACGTCTTCATTTCTGCGAACACGTCTTCATTTCTGCGAACACGTCTTCATGTCTGCGAACATGTCTTCATGTCTGCGAACACGTCTTCATGTCTGCGAACACGTCTTCATGTCTGCGAACACGTCTTCATTTCTGCAAACACGTCTTCATGTCTACGAACACGTCTTCATTTCTGCGAACACGTCTTCATGTCTGCAAACACGTCTTCATTTCTGCGTACACGTCTTCATGTCTGCGAACACGTCTTCATGTCTGCGAACACGTCCTCATGTCTGCGAACACGTCTTCATGTCTGCGAACACGTCTTCATGTCTGCGAACACGTCTTCATGTCTGCAAACACGTCTTCATGTCTGCAAACACGTCTTCATGTCTGCTAACACGTCTTCGTGTCTGCGAACACGTCTTCATGTCTGCGAGCACGTCTTTATGTCTGCAAACACGTCTTCGTGTCTGCGAACACGTCTTCATGTCTCCGAACACGTCTTTATGTCTGCGAACACGTCTTTATGTCTGCTAAACACGTCTTCATTTCACAAGCAAATTTAAGCATTGGCAAACAATTGTGGGCAAGTGCCAATCGCAAAAACAACAAAAATGTGTGAACTATAGTAAAAACTATGAGAGCAGTGAAATGTATTTTAAAATCGTGAAGATAGCACAGTTCTTAAATGCTATTCCAGCATACAAATTTTTGGACATTTACCTCAAAGTAAAGACAACATGAAAAGATCGGGTTTTCAGAAAAATATACACGGAACAAAATTGAAATATAATGTTAGGACGTGTCATCGTTTCGGAAGATTAAAAAAACAGCAACCCTAGTTTGACATCATGACATGGATGTTCGTCGTCAGAATGACTGAAATATTTGCGGGACAGAAGACTGGAAGCTAACAACGTCATACGGCTTGAACTTGAAGAAGAAGATGGTGAAAAACAATAATATAATAATAATAAAACGAAGAAGAAGAAGAAGAAGAAGAAGAAAAGAAGAAGAAGAAGAAGAAGAAGAAGAAGAAGAAGAAGAAGAAGAAGAAGAAGAAGAAGAAATAGTAGTATTGGTAGTAGTGGCAGCAGCAGCAAAACAGCAGTAGTATTAGTATAGTACTAGTTTACCTGATACGTCCGTTGCACACCAAGTTTTCTCGGAATGACTACAACGCCCCACCTACAGTTTTCAGTTGGCATATTGTCTAATGTGACCCTAGACGTCAAGTTTTGTTTGAATAATTGCTCATTAATAGCTGTGAATTATCAAAATGAATATGATCTACAGGAACATCTGACTAC